TTTGCTTAGCTCAATTTCTGTGTTTGTTTCAATTAAGCCATAAATTAACTTTTTATCACCTTCTGCGGAGTTTATTCTCTTTTGCGCATACTATATGTATGGGATATCGGGATTATCAGTTTATTTTCAGCAGCTTGTCTGTTATCGATTTCGCGAGAAATCTGTTGGCTCCATTTCGACTTTTAGGTCGCCAAGGGCAAATTCGGTAACGATAGCTAGCCGAGAAAAAGTGAAGTTTGGAAATACGTTTTGAAGTTTCAATAGACAATTAAGTATTTTATAAAAGGAATGCTGCTTTCAGAAGAATGTTATTAAATTTTAATATTGCATTCTTAAGAGATAACATTCACCAAGTTTTAGCGATCCAACCCCCCTCCCCCCCAAAAAAAAGCTGTTGTTGATAGTGATGCATTATTTTTGCTAATGGTGAGTGATGCAATTATTAGTTGAAAACAACTAATTTAAAATTTTAATATTTTTAAAGCTGAAAACAGCTAATTGAAACTAATTTTCCTGAATTAACTAACGCAAAATTAACTTTCATGAATTACTAAAGTTATTGAGTAGAAGTTTAACTGAAAATATACTTTCCGTATTATATATATATATTTATACAGTACAAAGTCCGAGGTCGGGACTTCGGCGATCCCAGATTTGAGATTTTTCCGGATATTAGATCATTTTAGATCTACTAAGATGGCACGTAGAAATTATAAAATTAAAATTATGAAATCGTGATTTATGAAATAATGAAGTATTTATGATTTAAAGGGTATCAAAATTTACAAAAGAAAAGAGCTTAATATTTATATGTTTACTTTATTAAACATTTCTTTCAATGTGAGTTGTTTGATTTGTTTTCTCTGCTAATACTTTAGACTAATGCTATAGACATATAATTTCTTGTTCAGTTATTAAGTTCCATTGTTCTAGTTCTGTAATTGCTGTGTCGAGAATTCCGAATAACTTGTCAATCAAATTTTTTCTCGTTCAGTAAACCCTCTCTGTTACTTTCTTCACTATCGGTAGCTGTATTTTCTGGATTTAGAACCATACTACAGATTTCGCCCTCCATTAATTGATTGATGATTGGGCATTGTCATCGCAATGAAAAACTTCTGTTTAACTTTGCTAAATTCTGCCGCCTGGTGCGGCCATGCGAGCTCTGGCGCTGGTTCTGGCTTTATGTGAATAACAAATCAGTTATTCTTAATTCAAATAGCACTAAATATAATCGTTTGTCCTATGAATATCATTAACAAAATCTATTTTTAGCATAAGGAAAGAAATTTCTGCTAAATCTCCCCTTGTCAACATTTTAGCGCATTAAACTTAAATCTGTAATCGGATAATACTCTATTATTTGGCGTCGCTGCATGATTCATCACTCAAGTTGTCATCCATTGATAAACATGCGGTGATGAAAGCAAAAATACAATAATAATGATTCGCGATTTCGGCATCAAGGATATAAAATATTAGTTGGTGTAAAATTAATCAAATGTTTCGGTTTTTGAGATTATGCCAAGCAGATACGCAGCTATGGAGTCAAGTTACTAAACTCACATCACACAAATTTATGCTAAAATAATTATTTCTTCAATAATGAGATATTTTATTTAGTGCCAAACTGAGATTTAAGAATCGGGATTTCCGGCATGTTTTTTTATGAGGGAAAAAAATCTAATGCGCGTGCGTAAAGCATGCCCCTTCCTTTCCAAAAAAGCCCTAAAAAGTTGGTTGGTGGTGGCTTTGAGGTCCGGATTTTAGATCATTCCATATATTGGATGTCCGGATCTCGGACTTTGTACTGTATATATATATATATATATATATACATCTTTTAAAATATAACTTACCAGTATGGATTCACTCTTTTAAAATAATTCTACTTTAATTAAACTTAGGAGATAATATAATCAATTAATCAATATTGTTTAGGAAATAAATTATATATATATAGTAAAAATGTATATTTTCACTATTCAAGTATTCACTGTGACAAGTATTCCCCCATCTTGTCACATGAACAGGCCTCTGTGGAAAGGGGCTTCTCTGTAAATAAAGCAATTGAAATTGAAAATTTAAGTGACTCATCATACATTTTTCAACGCACAGTATTTGATTACATAAAATTTTCTGGAGAAAATTTCTTAATATTGAAATTAATAAAGAAATGAGATCAGCAGCAACTTCTGCAAGAAGTGGAGTTCGTTATTTAGAAGTTCAGTATTTAGAAGAACGTTCAGTATTTAGAAGAACAAAAATCTTTAACTAAATCTGAAAATTCAAAGAGGAAAAGAAATATTATTGAGGAAGAAATTGATTATATGAAGCAGAAGAAAAAATTTCTTCAAAGGGACATTAAAGATATTAATGAAGAAGTAGATGCTTTAGCAGATGAAGCTGGGACCAGCAGGAACATTGATTTGTTTATCAAAGCAAATGAACTTAGAAGAATAGTTAAAGAAAAGGAAATAGACATAAATAAATTAGATGTTAAAATAGCTGAAAAGGTTGATTTGTTTATCAAAGCAAATGAACTTAGAAGAATAGTTAAAGAAAAGGAAATAGACATAAATAAATTAGATGTTAAAATAGCTGAAAAGGTGTTATTATTCTAATATCTTTCAAAAAACCAAGGAAATAAATTGTATGTTTACAAATCAGTTATTTTAATCTGCAAAATATTCTTACATTGTGATTATAATAGTAGTTGACTGTGTTTAAATAAATATCAAATAAGTTAAATAATAATCATGTAAATCTCTAAAATAATGACTGTTATTAGTGTAAAATACACTTATACATGTTTTTCAAGAAATTATGTTCCTAATTTAATGTTATCTACTTCATAACTTGTAGGGAGTTAGTTTAATTTTCAAAATTGTTTTATGGTAAGTATTAAATTGAATTTAATTAATAGTGCATAATACACACTTCTGTTAGTTTCTTAAAGTGAAATTACAAGCATGAAGTCGGTTTGTATGGATAATTGCTTTATTCTATTCATTTTTTTTTTGTTTGCTGATAGGTCCTTAATTTTTTCTTTGATGGTCCTTAAAAGTCCTTAATTTTCATGTAAGGAAATGTGTACGAACCCTGTACTACAGATTTCGCCGTCCGTTAATTGATTGATGATTGGGGCATTGTCGTCGCAATGACTTCATTTATTACCGCATATTATCAACTTCATTTATTACCGCTTCTGCACATTTCTTTACAAAATCCAATAACTGGAAAATTTCACCTTTAGTTTTGCGATGTCCGAAAACATTCAAATTTGCAGCTATCATCATCGTACTCACAATGAAATATGGCAGCTGGCCATAAATTATGACAAGGTTTTTTTAACATATCTGGAGACACATCCTCCCAACGTGGATGCACATGCTTAAATGTGCATTAACGCACATGCGTAAATGCATTATGCACACGTGTAAAGCAAGTTTGTGGCTTTTAAGGTCTGGATTATAGATCATTCCAGATAATGGATGTCCGGATTACAGACTTTGTACTGTATATATATTTATGAGAAAGGAGGTTAAAGACTTAGCAAAGGTCATAAGAACATTTGAGTTATCTATCGAATTCGTGATACTACATGTAAAGCAAGGACAAATCAACCTACTAGGTCACACATTTTTTATACTTTTTTCTACTTTTTGCTATATAGATGTGTGTGTAATGTAGCAGACTTTGATGTAATGATGTAGGAATTTTGATTGCATGGATACTGAGATGTTGATCCATAATGAAGAAGAAACTTATATTGTAGTTAAACACGTTGCAGTTTCAAATACTTAACACATTAATAATTGTAACTGTTCCCGAACAGCTATATTTTAGATATTGTTGGAATAGGAAGAAAAACAGAAGCTTATCAAGGCAGAGGTTTTAGTTCAAGTTACGAATTAGCTACATGATCAATGTTATGTAAAAGTCATATGATAGAATCAATGTAGAAGTGGCACAGTCCAGAAAAGGTTATTACTATTTTTAGAATATTTAGGGAAATACACATATTAAAATTAGGCATTAAGGGGGCTATTGCTAATTTTAATTAAAATTTTTATATATACATACTTTTTATCATTTATGTATATTTTTGGTACTGCCAGTTGCAATAAAAAATAGGTGCACAGCTAAATGTTATAGCAGTACCTGTACACAATTTCAATTTTATAGTCCATTTTGGAATAAAGAATTCTTTATTTTGTCCATATAACAGGTGTCACACAAAAAATATTCAAAATGGATATTTTTGTTGAAATCTGATAACTGAAATTTTTTGCAATTACAATACTTCCTTTACTTCATGCAAGCAGGTAAAAAGCAAAAGTATGAAAAATTACTTTGATGTATGCAATTTTATGATAACTAATATGTGATTTTCATGAAATGATTACAAAAATGTGATTTCAGTTTGTAAATTAGAAGTTCAGAACAGATTTTAGGGTATTAACATTTAATTAAGCTGTGTTATTCACACTAAGATTATTTTGCTTTTATGTGCTATCCATCGTATGAAGACTGAATAATAATTATATTACTCAAATGATAGTCATAACTACATTAAATGTTATTCAAATCAAATATTGCTCTGTTTTTAAATGGAATTGTACTGTGTAAAATATTTATGTATTTTGTTATACTTATTGTCACAAGAAAGTTTTGAAATAAGAATTTTACTTTATTCATTAATTTTCTAATTTCCTTGCTGCTAAGGGATAAGTTTTCAGCAAATTAATTAATCAGCAATTAATGGTGATGTGACAACGGAATGTATAACTGATATATTCTTTCAAGATCTCAGTACAGTTGTTAATAAATGCATTCCTGTTCCTTTATTTAGAAAAGAAATGTTCTGGTACATATTATATTTTATTCAGCAAGTAAAATGTTTAGTTATTTATTTGCGTAAGATGTTAAAGTAACTAATTTTATTTAGTAATAAAAAATATTATTTTTAGTAAATGAAATTATGATTTATTTTTTAGGATAAGATTACTAATCTCTGAAGCATTATTTACTCGTCACCGACTTCTCTCTTGGGAGAGGTTTGAAAGGGTATGTCATATAAATACTTAAAAAAATAATTGAGGAGTTACATACTTAAGATTCAGTTTAAAAACTGGAACCTTTTTTTTTTTTTTTTCTGAATAACTGTAAATCTCTTGGTTTATACCATTTGTAATATGCATATACCCTGTTGGAACTCATCACTTTATGTTAATATTATATATATATTTAATATACTGACCACCAAATATTGGAAATTATCAGCAAATATAGAATCTGAGATACTAATTATGTTAACTGCATACACTCAAGAGCCAAAACATTATGACCAGCCCTACATTTTGCGATGAATGCACCTGGATGACATGGAAGGCACGTGATCAGGTGGAAGTGGTATTTAACTGCTGCTGGAGAGTCTGAAGAATCATTCTTTCACTTACTTCTGTGTGTAATGGGAAAGGGTGTGGATCTAAGCGACTTTGATAAAGGGCAGATTGTAATGGCTCGAAGGCTTGGAACAAGTATTTCTGAAACTGCACGACTTGTGGGCTTTTCGCGATATACAGTTGTTAGTACGTATGAAAAGTGTATGAATGATGGTGAAACCAGCAGTAGACGACATGATGTTGGACATCCACACGCTATCTAAGAAAAAGGTCAGGATACGCCGTCTACCAGGCGAACAATTGCTCCCTCAATGCACAGTAGGTCATACACAGGCCGGTGGTGGCGGTATTATGCTCTGGGGGACATTCTCTTGGGCGTCTATGGGACCCGTGGTTGTGGTAGAGCAGACCATGAATGCTACAGGGTATCTGAACATCATTGCGAACCAGTTGCACCCTTACATGACCTCTGTTTTTTCAACTGGAAATGGAATGTTCCAACAGGACAACGCCCCATGTCACATGGCTACAATTGTGTTGGAGTGGTTCCAGGAACATGATGCTCATTTTCCAGGTAATGTCCTGGCCACCTATCTCACCGTATCTCAATCCGATAGAACACATTTGGGATGTCATGGGACGGCAGCTCAGAGGTCAAAGACCACCAGTTCGCAATATCTTGGATTTGCGTGACCGTTGCTACAACATCTGGTATAATCTGTCTTCGGCCATATATCAAGGACTTCTGGCATCCATGCCAAGGTGGGTTGAAGCTGTGTTGCGCGCCAAAGGTGGCCCTACTCGTTATTGACAGGTGGTCATAATGTTTTGGCTCTTGAGTGTACATTTCCAGGTTAAAATAGAGGGCCCAAAATCTGCATAATGCCTGAAGTTATGTGGAAGTTATATTTTCAGTCATAAATGAAAACTGGTTAGACTTAAACAAAAAAGAGCAACATAAATAAAAGAAAATTAAAGAAACACATAAGAGTAATCTCTTTTTGACATTTTATAGACAAATTAATAAATACAAATTTTCAGTAATTAATTAATCCTTTTCATGGATATTAAAATAAAATGCAAAGTTTCAAATAAAGTTATAACATTTTAAATATGTTATTTTATTTGTAACTATAATAAAAGGCATATGATAAATTAGGAATCTTTGTGTTCGAAAATGGAGTCTTCATAATCCTTTTACTCTTTATTTGTGTGGAGTTATTTTCAAATACATCTAGTATTTCAAATCTTTAGATTATACTCTCGAACATTCATACAAACGATTTCATATGCCAAATAATATACCTATGGCATTCAAATTCTGTTCTTTAAACACTTCTCTTCCACTAAATGAAGTTTACAATAGTCTTGTATTTCTTCTAAACTTTTTCCTGAAATTCTTAGTTATTTATGAATATAATTGGAAAATTCACTCAGTTTGTGCACTTTTGCAATTCAGTTGTGCACTTTTTAATAGCTACATCCAATTTAGAGTATTTTTAATGGAATTCCTATAGAAACTTCCTATTCCACTTATTTATGTAACCTTTACTTATTTACTAAAGAATATCACTTCCCAAAATCTCTTAATCAAGCTGATAAAAACTACTTTACTACTAGTTTAAGATATATTGATGATATTATTGCAATAAATAATTTTGAAAAATAAAAAAGTATAGATTTACCCATTTAATTTAGTCTTAAATAAAATGAATACTAAAAACAAAATTAACTATTTATATTTACATATTTTTTATACCAAAAATATTAAACTTTAAGACAAAAGGAAAGACTTCAATTTTGACAATATAAATTAATTCACTGGAATTCTAACATTTTGAAAAAGTTTTAAATGGCACTATTCACAATCATCTATGTAAAATAAAAAAAAAAAAAAATTGTACTGAAGTTACTTACCTACAAGAAGAAATCATACTTTCCATTAAATCATTAATAGAGAATAAAATTCCAGAATATTACCTTAATCTTTGTGAAAAAGCATGTATTAATTACCAAATATAATCTCTGGTTTTATATTGTGATGTTGTTATATTATTTTAAACCTAATAGGAAAGTAATGCTGGGTGGTAATTAAAATTAGAGACTTGTTTATATGTAAATAATCCTCCTTTCATATACAGATTTTGTATTATAATTCTGGCTCATTCCGTTTGCTAACTGAGATAATTTAATTTCAAAGTTTCCAAAAGTCAGGCAAATTTTCCAAAGATTAAATGCATCAAGACATTCATTTCTTGAAATCGATGGAAAAATGCATTTATAGCCTCATCAATCTCATCTTCAAAATGAAAACCACATACACAAAAGTTCCTTTTTAGATTTAAAAAATAGCCAAAAGTCACACATAGCTAGATCGGGTGAATAGGTTAGATGTTTTATCATTTTGATGTGTTTTTGTTTAAGAAATGCAAGTTAATCTTGCTGAATGAGAAGACTTATTGTTATCGTGGAGCGTGAGTTGTTTAACATTAACTTCTTGAAGAATTTTGGGATGTTTTAGCACTTTGATGTGTTTTAGTTTAACCTTCCAGCACGTGCGTATGCGCAAAATTTACGACAAATTCAGTTTTTAATGCACAATGTTTGCATATCAAAGCTGAGACGTCTGAATGTCATTTCTATACCTCCTTTTTACCTTTCCCCACGTCATCGAATGTGCCAACAGGAAATCATTTGACTTTTTTTTTAACTGGGCAGCTTTTTCATAAAAGTTACGACAGGCGCGTAGTTGTGTTTTAAAATTTGCAAAATATTTTTTTTCTCAAATATTTTGTAATTTTGTGTTATTAACTGCCGTGTATTATTTTAACTTGAATGCATTTGGCTCTGTAAATTTTATATTGGTTTTCATGGAAAAAAAATATGTGCAACTAGCTGATTTTGCTCGGAATCTTCAAGAATTATCTGATGAAGAAAAGGAAGACAAGGAAACCTTTGGATGGGAGAACAATAGCGATTTCCATTTCTTATTTTCTTTTATTTCTATTTTTTAAATAAATAAAAACATTAAAGTTAGTTTAAAGTGTGTTTTTGTAACCAGTAAGAAGTAAATTTCCTTGCAGAAATAAGTAATGCTAAACTTACTTTTTTTCCTACCAAGATGTTTTCCATTTTTATTGTCTATATTTATCCTTGATGATTATTAAAAACTAGGTTCGATTTTAAAATATAATTATTAAATAATAAATTAAAAATTTTCTGTAATGAAATACATCTTTGCATTTCTATTTCACTAACATAAGAACTTGAAAATAATTATATTTGAATGTGGTATCATTTGTCTTTTGCAATAATAAGATTAATATTTTATTTCTTAACAAATTTATTATCAATATTCACGCATTTCTGTCGTTTTTCGTGCCCAAAACGGTAAATTAACGGATGTGCTCATGTAAAATTGCCAAGCGCGTGTGCTGGAAGGTTTAATAATGCAATTGTTAATTTTGCTGAATGAAAAGACACATTGTTATTGGGGAGCATGAGTTGTTTAACATTCACTTCTCGAAGAATTTTGGTAGACACATAGAGGTGTACCAGTTAGCTGTGACTTTTGTCCTTCCAGCTTGATTGCTTTGACCAGTCTTATACTTCTAAAGAAAATGGCATACATTACTTTTTCATTGCACGTTGTCTTTTCACCATTGGGGACATGGTATCATCTTCAAAGACCCATACTTTACTTTCTTGACATTTTGGAATGCCAAAAATGGTATGTACATTTCATTACCAGTTACGATTTTAGAAATAATGTAGTGACCACCATCTTTAAGTAATTTAAGGGTTTCTTTACTAATTCTGCACACTCCTCTTTTTGGTGCTCAGTTAAATTATGGCGAATCCAAAGGTGAAATAGTTTTTTCATATGCAATTTTTCATGAATAATTTTATGTATGAGGGCAGATCCAGTGTTAAGTTCCTTCTATATCATATGGTAGGTGCAGTGATCATCATCAATTAACATTTTCCATATGGCAGACACATTATTTGGGATTACTGCTGACAACAACATTCCTATGTTTTCTTCATCCTGAAGAGAGTTGTGACCTCTGAAATTCTGTAAATCATCTGAATACAGTAATACGAGATGAACCTTCATTTCCATATGCTGATTGTAGACAATGAATACATTCATCTTGATTTAATCCCACTTTAAAATCATAGTGTGAAAGTGTTCTCCCATCAACTCCATTTTTTCTGCTGCCTAAAATTTATTTTATGCTAAACTGCTTGCAACTGGCCAATAAAAATCTGTTAAGCTAAAATAGTTCACATTTTCAAATCTAACCATTAATATTTTCCTGCCACATATCATCTGCGCATATCTAAAAAATTTCAAAGTGACCTCCGTAATGTAGGTTTGAGTGGAATTTGTAAGTTTTTGATATTTTTGGGGTAAATAATGTTTTTAAACGCTGAGCCAAAATGGCAAAATTTTTTGTGTAAAAAATTTTTATAAGTTTAGATTTTACAGTTGAATTACTTGTTGTATTCTTTTTGTACACAGACATGGTGAAAACTAGATTTTTTTTTGGTGTGTGTGTGTATGTATGTGTGTGTGTGTAATTTGTATTTTATTTGTTGGGAGCTGAATTTACAATCATTTGACTGTTTGACAGAGGGTATAAAAATATTTTTGTAAAGAAATTTGTGTCATATTTTTTATTTTAATTAATTTTATCTTTATATTAGTCTTGTTCAAAAATTAAAGTGGAACAAAATTTGAGTTCAGTATTCCTTAATTGTTCAGGTTTTAATGTCATATATTATTGCCCCATGACAAGTAGATTTGAAACATTAAAATATGAATTATTAATTTGCTTTTTCATACATAAAGTTTTTAAAATATTTCTAAAATTTTTTTAAAAAATATTTTTTACTTTTAAATTTTCATATTACTTAATTCTAAAATTTAGCAGTTTCTCTGTATTTTAAATTCAGTTAAAGGAATTTCCCCCAGATGATATAATTTATTTCTTCTTATTTATGAATTTTAAGCTTTGTTTAATTAAATCTCAAGCAGCTTTAATGCATTGTGTTATTGTTTTTTTGGTCCCTTTTGAATTTCATTCTTTACTTTTAAATTATATATTGGGAGTACAAATAAGTCTCCACCATTTGAAAAAAAAATGGCGCCACCAATAAGTTATGGTTAAAATTTTCTGATGTAAAATGTCATATCTTTAGGTTGGACATCTACTAACAAAATACATTGAGATATTAGTAATTTTGTATCAGTATCACATATTATTTCATGCGAAATTGTCGAGCTTTAAACCGAATTAGTGTCATTTGCAGAAGCTTTTGATTTACTTCTTTAATTTGAAGAAATCCACAGCTGAAGCATATCGATTGCTTGTAAGAGCATATGGTGAGGCTGCTTTAAGTGAGAGAAGTTGTTGTGATTAGTTTCAAAAGTTTAACATCGGTGAATTTGACATCGAAGACAAAGAATAGAGTAGAAGGATGAAAGTGTACGAAGGCAGGAAATTGGAAGTATTATTGGGTGAAGATTCATGCCAAATTCAAGTAGAACTTGCACTTACATTAGGAAGGACTGAAGAACCAATTTCACATCGTTTAAAATCATTGGGAACAATTCAAAAGAAAGAAAATTGTATTTTCCATGTGAACTGAAGCTGAGAAATGTTGAATGCTGATTTTTCACACGTGAAATGCTGCTTGCCAGACATAAATGAAAAGGAGTTTTTGCATCATGTAGTCATAGGTGATGAAAATTTGATCCACTTTGATACCCCAAAGAAAAAGAAATCATGGAGATCACCTGGCCATTCTTCAACATCAACAACCAAGCCTTTCATCATTCATCATTCATGGATAATTTTGTATATATGGTGCAATCAACTTGGTGTCATGTATTATGAATTACTCAAACCAAACCATTACTGGAGCTCTCTACCAAACACAATTGATAAGACCGAGCCGAGCACTCAAATTGTGCCCATTACTACTTCATACATGACAACATTCTTCAGCATGATAACACTCATCCACATGTTGTGGTGCTGGTCAAAATGTGCTTGGAAACACTCAGATGAGAAGTTTTCCTTCTCATGCTGACAGTTTACCAAACTGTGCTACTTCTGATTATTACTTGCTTCAGTTGATGATGCATGGTTTGTCTGAATAGTGCTTCACATCATATGAAGATACCAAAATTTGGGTTGATTTATGGATGGCCTTGAAAGATGAAACATTCTACCGATGCAGTATCTAAATGCTGCTAGAAAGATGGGAAAAAGTAGTGGCTACCGATGGACATAACATATAAATAAAACATAGTGTATCGTTCTTTTACAATAAATGCTTAAGTTTTGATTAAAAAATTGACAGAGACTTACTTGTACTACCCGATATATACATTTACATACACGTACAAACACACACTATGTGCGTATGCATGTGTATGTTTCGTATGCATGCATTGTTTTATTACATAGTGTACTTTGTATCTTTCTATTTTGTGTGTTATTGTTTCTTTGCATATTTTATTCACTGAAATCTATAAAAAGGATTTTGAAATTTATTATTAAATACTTTTTGGTATAATATTTTCTTTTCGTTTATAAATATTTTCTTTTTCTTCTGGAAACCCATCATGTTTAGTATTTTATGGTGTGATTTTGTCTCACTTCCTATATTAAATGAGAAAAAATGTAATTAAATGCAACATTAAAAATCTTGTAAAATTCTTGAAGTTAAAAGCATAATTAATTGTAGAAATTATTCATTTTAATAATTGTATTTATTTTATAGGAGAGTACAACAGACATTGTGCTACCAGATCTCCCAACTCTTGAAGATTTGGGTGTGAAACTAACTCCACTGGAACAAAGAATATTTTATGAACTTAAGGCCATATAGGCTTGATGCTTATATGGATCCTCTTCTGCGAGATTATGTCAGGCCTGTGGATCCATGCCCTCTAGCTAAAGAATAGAAAGTTTATAAAATACCGTAGAATTTGTAAATTTTTCTATTGAATTAGTAAACAGATGGAAAACATTTTGTCCATCTTTCTTTAAACTGTCCAGTATGAACTCTGTTTTTAATTTTTTATCATTAAATTTATGGAAGTGTAACGGGATATTCTGAGAATAAGTTTGAATATTAAATTGAATTGTTTCTCTTTAATATTTATTTCACATTATGATATTGCTTTCCTTTAATAAGAAATTATCCATTAAAATTATGTTAAGAAATCAGATGAAAATATAAGGGATGTTTAAGTGAAAAGGTAAAAAGTTACACTGGGTGTTAACACAGAAATGAAGGGACGTCAAGATCTAATGAAAGAGTTGTTTAACTAGAGTGATCTGCCAACCATGAGAAAAAAAGAAGTTCCAAGAAAGCTAGCCACCATGGATTGAGTGTGCTGGTAATTCGGATTTGTGCTATGTATGTTAAGGTGTGGATGGCAAGAATCCATCCGAGTAGAATACGCTATTCAGACATACATCCACTATTCAGACAAGGTCTCATTCGTATATGCGTGTATAATTCTGTTAATAGATGTAATAGTAAAATATCTATGGTCCATTAAATTTATGTGTGAAGTTCATGTGTTTGTGTGATTAAATTCTATTTTCGATCATTTTTGGTCCTATCGACCCAATAGAAAAATTAGTGCCTGTGGATAAAGTACTGCTTAAAAGGCTAATATGTGAAGTATTATTTTGATAGAAAGTGTGACATGTTATTTCATATTCGTCAAGATGCTTAGAACAACTAGTGCATTTGGAATAGCCACTTGCGATTTTCATCTGGATTACCTCAAACGGAGGTAAGTGACTTTGTTCATATCCATTCTGTATTATTCATTAACTTTAAAGATGGAGGCATTGTTAATTAAGAAAAGAGTTTTAAAGCAAGTATAATGAAAGATATGTCTGATTTAGAAAAGTATACTTATGATTTGGTTCAGCTAGAGCTTTTTGAAAATAATCATGCAAAATTTAACAATGAATGTTCAGATATTTTTAATAAATTATATGAAGTAATTGAGGAGAAGGAGTTTGATAAATATGTGACTGAACAGCAAACTGTTCAAGAGAACATTGATACCTTATGGGATAAAGTTAAATGACAAATGTCAAAACTTAGTGTTAAAGATTCAAATAATTTAAAGATCGAAAATACTAGTGTGGAAGGTATAAAATTACCTAAATCAAACTTGGCCATCTTTTAATGGAAATATTTAAAAGAAAGGTACTCCAATAAACTGTGATCAGGTCTTTGCTCAAATAAAGCATTTTATGTCAATTTCTCCCATACAAAATGAAAGATTGGTAGATACAAGTGAATGAAAGTGTAAGGTCTCTGAAAAGTTTAGACAAAAAAATAGAGGGATTCTCAGAAATGTTTTCTGCATATATTTTGTTACAAAAATTAGATGTTTCCATTCGCCTTTGATGGGGAAGAGATTCAGAAACAAATGAGCTAATTAAATTATCTGAGCTTGTTACATTTCTAAAAAATCATGTTAGAACTTTGCAGTCATCAAAGTCATCTAATATGTTTAATGAAAAAAAGGGGTCAACAATTTTCAAAGTTATATAAATGTAACTCTTTCTTGAAAATGACTAAGCGAACGTCTTGAATTTGTTAAAAAACATAAATTATGTTTTAATTACTTGACTTTTAATTTGACTCATTCTGCAAAGAACTGTCATTTAGAATTTAGCTGTTCAAAATATATGAAAAAGCATCATACTTTGTTGCATTTTCTCAACCAAGATATTTTGCAATCATCTTCTGTGGGGAGGGAGGAAACATCTGTTAATAATTCTGACCCCTCTTCAGCAGACAATTCAAAGCTAAACGCTGAGGCCAGATGTTTTGAAATGTTATTTAATTGTAACCAAATGAACAATTCGGAATTTATTGGTTCGTCTGTAACTACCTCACAAGTGATTTCAAAGGAAGTATTATTATCTACTGCAATTATTTATGTTAAAAGACTTGCGGGCATTTTATTGCTTGCCGAGCTCTTCTTGACAGTAGTGCCAGGGAATTATTTCAGTTTTTCATTTTCACAGCTTCCTCAAAACATTAAACTAGCGGATCTGCATTTTAATAAACCACCGAAAATAGATACCTTGTTAGGTGCAGAATGCTTTGATGAACTGTTGAAGGCTGATCAAATTCATCCACAAAATTCGAATTTAACTTTTCAAAATCCCGTATTTGGATACATTGCTAGTGGTGTAAATTTTGGTTCAAAATCAGACAATATAATTCAGTGTGGATTTATGCCGAAGACTTAAATTCACTAATCAAGTCTTTTTGGAAAATTGAGGCTGTTGCAGAATCTGTCAAAAAAAAAAGAAGAAGAATGTCAAGATCATTTTGTGAAAACCCATCAGCTGGATATCGAGGGTAGATATGTAGTGACTAGCATTAAGGCAAGATGTTCACTTAGGTAACTTTGCAACTGGCCACACAACGGTTAAATAATTTGTGGAAGAGACTAGACAAAAACCCTGGACACATCTAGGATATACAGGGAATTCATGAGTGGATATGAAGTGTTAGGGCATATGCAAAACATGCAGAATGTGTCGAAACTCCTAAATACATAATGCCTCATTATGCTGTTTTTAGAGCAGAGAGCAGTACAACTAAGTTACGAGTGGTTTTCGACGCTTTGGTTCCTTCATCATCAGATTTTTCATTAAACGATTGTTTGATGAATGGAGGTGTGGTTCAAGATGATCTAGTCCCTGTCCTGCTGTGATTTAGAAAACACAAGGTGGCTTTCACTGCTGATATATGCAAAATGTATCGTCAGATTTGTATAAATCCTGAGCAGCGCAAACTTCACTGCATCCTTTGGAAAAATACGTTAAATGATGTATCTAACTTTATCAATTGCTTACCATAACATACGGAACAAAATTCACAGTGCCTTTTCTTGCAACAAGAGTTTTGAGACAATTAGCCATAGATGAAAAGGATGAGTATCCATTAGCTTCTGAAACGACATTCAATGATTTTTATGTTTATGACATTTTGTCTGGTGTAGATGATGTCACCTCTGCTGTAGAATTGCAACGACCATGCTACATGTTAATAGCCATGCTACAATCTGCAAAAATGGAATTATACAATTGGTGCTCAAACGAAAGAATTCTTTTAGAACAAGTTCCATTCGAAAAACAAGCAAATCATTTTGAAGATCTTCACAAGACACCATAAAAACTTTAGGTTTAAGATGGAATCTTGAAGAAGACTCTTTTAGTTTTACTGTGTTTAGTTCATCTAACATCTGTACTAAATGTTCAGTTTTGGCAGATATTGCTTAACTGTTTGATCCTTTAGCTTTTCTAGGACCTGTAATCATGTGTGCTAAGATGTTTCTGAAAAACCTGTGGCTTTTACGTCTAGACCGGGATGATCCGTTTCCTTTCAAAGAGCGATAAGAGTGGGAGACATTTCAAAAGGCCTTACCAGATTTGAGACAAGGTTCCTCCTTACACTCTAATAGAATCAATTAAAGAAATTCAGCTCCACTGTTTTGCCGATGCTTCAAAGGTTGGATATGGTGGAGTTGCTTACTTTCGTAGTGTCTCTGGAACTGGTGAAGTTAAAGTAACTTTGCTTTGCAGCAAATCTCGAGTATCGCCTATCAAAGTGATAGCCATTCCTCGTCTGGAGTTGTATGCAACAGAGCTCCTGTCCAAATTTGTGTTTGAGGTAAAAACAACTTTGAGCTTACAAATTCACAACATTATTCTTTACACATTCAACAGTATTGTTAGCATGGATTGCTACATCTCCTCATTTTCTAGGAGTATTCGTGTCAAATAAAGTAGCTTGTATCCAAGAGCTAACTAAGGATTTCTCCTGCCAATATGGCAGAACCAAAGACAATCCAGCTATCTCATGGTCTGAGCCTGGAAAATATTGTTGATAACTCTTTATGGTATCAAGGTCAAATTTCCTGTATCAACAGGTCATTAATTATAACAATGTTAATAACAACTTGGAAAAATCAAATAAGAACTATATGCACGAACTAAAATTTATTTCTAATGTAAATTTGACAGCAACTGTTAATAATTCTCTTTTGGATTATGTTTTTAGTATTACTAATTGTTGTGCTAAATTAATTAATGTTTTAAGATTTAAGAAAGTTATGTCGAAAAAATAAAAATGCATGAGCACACGCCCATTTAATATGTAGATATCTGGTAATTTATATTTAAATTGAATAAATGCAACTGTATGCTAGCTGTAACTGTAATTCTGTTCTTTTGCTTTCCAGAAATTTCTAGAAGTATCTCGCGTGGCCGATTTAAAAAGCTATGAAAGCCGGGAAAAAATCTCAGTTCAGTTGTTTACTAAGTTGTTGTTGTTTACTTAGCTGCTGTAATTTTGAGATCAGATTAGCTATCTCTGCGCTTTGTCCTATTTAACGTTTTAGTAGTTTAAAATACTACTGTGTGATATTGTACGAATATCTGTGAAGAAAAATTTCAGCATTTTGTTTTATTTCGTGTGATGAGAATAAATTTTATGAACTTTTCATCAGACTTATGCATTCAATCTATTATGAACCCGTACACACGCAATCATATACATCTCAGAGGAAAAGCATAGTGCACAAGATTTATGATGCAGTTTTTGTTTGCCTCTAAACTCTTGTGGTCCACCTAGAAATCATTTCAAATTTGTTTACAGAATCATTTATTGCAGCCTTAAAACGATTTATTTCTAAAAGAGGGAAATGTGCGTGCGACAATGCTTGAAATTTTGTTGGGGCTAGCAAGGAATATAAGTGATTATACAATTTGGTAAAATACCCTAATGAATTCTGAACCAAATATCTGACATCTGAAAGGATTCATTGGAAGCGTATCCCTCCTAGACCTTCTCACTTTGGAGGTTTCTGGGTGGCAGGTGTTAAGTCGTCTAAGAGTTTTATCTTAAGCATGCAGTGAGGAGGTTGATTTTTACATTTGAGGAGTTTCTTATAATTTTGAAATAGATTGCAGGAATTTTAAATTCATGTCGGATATTCCCTTTGTCGAATGACACCAATGATTTAGAAGCACTTATACCCGCACACTTTTTAGTCAGGCGACCTTTAACATCTATAATGGAGCCTTATCTTACTGATTTTTCTGATAATTCTTTAAAGCGCTGTCAGCGCACTACCAAAGAAACCCAATACTTGTAGAAAAGGTGGCAAAATGATTACATCAGTCACTTACAGCAACGATTTAAGTGGTATTTTTCTAAGGATAACTTTAAAAAGGGCTTTGTAGTTTTAGTAAAGGTAGAAAACATGCCCATTTCAACTTGGTTACTAGGAAAAATCGAAGAACTAATTTATGGTAAGGATAAAAAGGTTATAGTTTGCATTGTAAAAACCAAGCCAGGTCTCTTAAAAAGACCAATAACTAAATTAGCTGTGCTACCAGTAGATGTCAGATAGATTATTAAGTTTAATATACATTTGCTAAATTAAAAAAAAAATATATTTATGCATTGTTTTTTAATTCATATTTTGTGCATTTTAAGTTGTGTTTAATTATGTGTATTGATTTTGTTC